TGTTTTTTTCGCAAGCACAGAAAGGAAGATGTATACTTTGTTATAAATTTGTTAATTATTCTAGCTAAATTCTATCTCCACAAATGCAAATATAGTAACCAAAAACCTAATTTCAAGCACTATTATAGTGACACTCTATCTTACATAAAATTGATTAGCGGATCACTAAACAAAAAAGCTTTAAAAACTATATCTATTTGCACCACCTATAAGTTATTTGGATGTGTGTAACATTTCTGTAGTACACCCCCTGGCATATGTTTCATCTTTGTTCAATTTTGTATGCAATTTGATTGTATACTTTCACCTTGTTCAATAGTTTTGAAAAAAAAAAACTGTGTTTAGAAGAATTTAGATGCAGTGTCTCTTCCAAGAAAGGATTTGAACTTTATTAATCAAGATCCATCTTCTCCTTCAAATCCTCCACTTTTTCCTCCACAATATTAATGTTCCCAAAATGTTTAAAATAAAGATTGGGATTTTTTTAAAGCTTCATTAAAATAAGGAGGTTAAAATATTTTCTTCTAAATGGCAATAACGACCAAAGTGCTTTTTCAGGATACAGCCATTGAAGGACAGCAACTCCCCATCTTCATTTTATTAACTGCTGTTGGAAATATAATGCTGTTCTGTTTATTGCCAGCATTGAGATGAATTTTTTAAAGGAAAACAACAGTCTTTGGAAGAAATTAGATAGCCTTTCTACTAAGGAAGTCTTTTACATTTACTAAAACAGGTTCATCTCCTTCAAATCCTCCTCCTTCTCCTTCATAATATTATAATTCCCAAAATGTTTACTAAAAAGATTAAAATTTTTTAATCTTCGTTAGGACAAGGAGGCTACAATGTTCAATTCTAAATGGCTAAAATGAAAAAGGTGCAGTTACAGCAAATAGCCACCGGAGGGCAGCAATTTCCCATCTTCTCATTATTTCTTACTGCTGTTTGTTGCCAGCAGAGGGCGCAAATTTCCCATTCTTTTAAGAAAACAAACTTGTGTTTGGAAGAATTTAGATGTAGTGTCTCTTCCAAGAAAGGATTTGAACTTTAATAATCAAGATCCATCTTCTCCTTCAAATCCTCCACTTTTTCCTCCACAATATTAATGTTCCCAAAATGTTTAAAATAAAGATTGGAATTTTTTTTAAAGCTTCATTAAAATAAGGAGGTTAAAATATTTTCTTCTAAATGGCAATAACGAACAAAGTGCTTTTTCAGGATACAGCCATTGAAGGACAGCAGCTCCCCATCTTCCTTTTATTAACTGCTATTGGAAATATAATGCTGTTCTGTTTATTGCCAGCATTGAGATGAAATTTTTAAAGGAAAAAAACAGTCTTTGGAAGAAATTAGATAGTCTTTCTGCTAAGGAAGTCTTTTACCTTTACTAAAACAGGTTCATCTCCTTCAAATCCTCCTCCTTCTCCTTCATAATATTATAATTCCCAAAATGTTTACTAAAAAGATTAAAATTTTTTAATCTTCGTTAGGACAAGGAGGCTACAATGTTCAATTCTAAATGGCTAAAATGAAAAAGGTGCAGTTACAGCAAATAGCCACCGGAGGGCAGCAATTTCCCATCTTCTCATTATTTCTTACTGCTGTTTGTTGCCAGCAGAGGGCGCAAATTTCCCATTCTTTTAAGAAAACAAACTTGTGTTTGGAAGAATTTAGATGTAGTGTCTCTTCCAAGAAAGGATTTGAACTTTAATAATCAAGATCCATCTTCTCCTTCAAATCCTCCACTTTTTCCTCCACAATATTAATGTTCCCAAAATGTTTAAAATAAAGATTGGAATTTTTTTTAAAGCTTCATTAAAATAAGGAGGTTAAAATATTTTCTTCTAAATGGCAATAACGAACAAAGTGCTTTTTCAGGATACAGCCATTGAAGGACAGCAGCTCCCCATCTTCCTTTTATTAACTGCTATTGGAAATATAATGCTGTTCTGTTTATTGCCAGCATTGAGATGAAATTTTTAAAGGAAAAAAACAGTCTTTGGAAGAAATTAGATAGTCTTTCTGCTAAGGAAGTCTTTTACCTTTACTAAAACAGGTTCATCTCCTTCAAATCCTCCTCCTTCTCCTTCATAATATTATAATTCCCAAAATGTTTACTAAAAAGATTAAAAATTTTTAATCTTCGTTAGGACAAGGAGGCTACAATGTTCAATTCTAAATGGCTAAAATGAAAAAGGTGCAGTTACAGCAAATAGCCACCGGAGGGCAGCAATTTCCCATCTTCTCATTATTTCTTACTGCTGTTTGTTGCCAGCAGAGGGCGCAAATTTCCCATTCTTTTAAGAAAACAAACTTGTGTTTGGAAGAATTTAGATGTAGTGTCTCTTCCAAGAAAGGATTTGAACTTTAATAATCAAGATCCATCTTCTCCTTCAAATCCTCCACTTTTTCCTCCACAATATTAATGTTCCCAAAATGTTTAAAATAAAGATTGGAATTTTTTTTAAAGCTTCATTAAAATAAGGAGGTTAAAATATTTTCTTCTAAATGGCAATAACGAACAAAGTGCTTTTTCAGGATACAGCCATTGAAGGACAGCAGCTCCCCATCTTCCTTTTATTAACTGCTATTGGAAATATAATGCTGTTCTGTTTATTGCCAGCATTGAGATGAAATTTTTAAAGGAAAAAAACAGTCTTTGGAAGAAATTAGATAGTCTTTCTGCTAAGGAAGTCTTTTACCTTTACTAAAACAGGTTCATCTCCTTCAAATCCTCCTCCTTCTCCTTCATAATTTTATAATTCCCAAAATGTTTACTAAAAATATTAAGATTTTTTAAGCTTCGTTAGGACAAGGAGGCTACAATGTTCAATTCTAAATGGCTAAAATGAAAAAGGTGCAGTTACAGCAAATAGCCACCGGAGGGCAGCAATTTCCCATCTTCTATTCATCTCTTGGGCAGTAGGAGACCCATGGACCAAAGGCTCTCCAAACATTATGTTTAACAATTTTGTCATAATACATCTAGAAAATCAGAAGAAAAATTATTCAGTCACTTTTTTGATGAATTCTTTCCACGTTTCTATTTTTATTTTAAAAACTTTTTCTGAGCTGCACTGGTTAAACTTCATCCCTGAGTGCTGGCCTCAGGCTCCTGGAATACAGAACAGATCTTTAGTCCTTGTGGTGCTGCTGCCTTTTGGAGCGGACTAGTTAATTAGTTGCATGGCCTCTGGACTTATATCTGCTTTGTAAATGGGAGAGAGATGTCAACTGTGGAGGGGAGCTGCTCTGCCCCACGTGTCTGTGTGAGAAGTGACTGTGAAAGCTGGTTGGAGGTGCTGGAGTCTGGGATTCAGCGCTGCAGAGGGCTTGTTGGGGAATTTCAGAGGATGGGAAATGGGGAGGCTGGGGAAAGAAGAGAGAAGATAAAGCATCAACTCTAAATCCCAGACAGGTTTAAGGGATGTTGCAGACGTAAGGCTGAGAACATGTGGTGAGAAGAGAGATTGTAGCAGATTATTGAAATTGAAACTTTCAAAAACAAGATGCTTCACGATTTATTAGTAATAATTAGGGCTTCATTGCTGCTCACACCAATTTTGGGTCTGATTGTGTGAAAGACACTGATCAGACCTAAAAAATACGACAAGAATGACGAAATGCAACTCAAGAGACCAAATCGCCAAAATAAAACGTGAATAATTTAAAATTATATTTTAGATATTTTATCACAGGTGTAAAAACTAATTATTTTAATTAGCTTTAGATAAAACAGAAATGAAGGTTCCAAACAACACATGAGCTCAGTAATGAGTAGCTCCATCGGTGATCACATGCTTGCTCATGAGGTGAGAGGGAACATTTCTCCAAGCGGTGAAGACGTCCACTGTCTGGAACTCTTCATGTTTGTCAACCTCCCTTGTCATAAATCCTCAAAGGTCCTCCATCAGTTTTAGATCAGAGACATGAAGGATGGCCCAAAAGAGTGATGTTTTCCTAGAAGTAGTCCCTTGTCCTGTGGGTGTTGTGTACTGTAGCACAGTCCTGTAGAAAACCCAGTGGTTACCACACAGAACAGGCCCTCAGTCAAACATCTGGACACAGCCAGCAGCCATTGATGTCTCTGCACCTCCTGCAGCTCCACTGTTCCGCAGAAGGAAAAAGCACCTTGTCCATGATGACCCCCTCTACACATAGAAAACCTCTCTGGGATCTGCTTGTCATGCCAGTAATGCTGGAAAGCATCGGGACCATCAAGGTTAAACTTCCTCTCATCAGACCCCGGACCTCCAGCTCAGTGCTGATGAAACGTTTCTGTTCCATACCCTCAGGGTCATTTAAGACAACCGTCTCACCTCAGCAGTGAGAGAGCCTGCTACTGCAGTTCAACCACCTTCAAAATGGAAACATTTGCTTTCCTTTTCCATCAGAACGTCATGACGATGTGATCGCCTGATAGAAAACCCCAACAAATCCTAATTTATACACAATATGGCCTTTTAACAGCCTGCTTCAGTTTAAGCTTCGTTTTCAATAAATTGCTGCTCACAGAAGGATTTGTCTCACTCCCGTTTCTTCTTGTTGCATGTTGAAGCTCAACCTGTGGCCTTCTTAAGACCCAATCAGGCAAAACATGAATTTTACAGTTGCCTTAAACTTTGGATCAGGACTGTGCCTGTAAAAGTAGCTCGAATGATCAATAAAGCGATTGAGTTCATTTTTACACTATTTGAGCGCATATCTATTTGAAGGGTCATATTGTCAGGATAAAGCACAACAATGCTTACCGGCTGAAAAATTATTTACATTTGGTTTTTGCGTCAACACGAGCCTGAAAGCCAGTTTGATTAAAGGTGTTTGTAAACAATAGCGCCCTCTAGTGTCGTTTCCTATTTTCACCCCACCTTACCTCGTTTACAGTTAACTAAAGCAGTCTTCTAACTAGTGGTCATATTTCAGATTAGGATTATTTATGCGTTTCTGTCTTTGCTGATGGACTGCTAGCATGCAGAAATGACCAAAACAACTGCATCCGATGTGTTTTTATGATTTGTTTATTTTTTAAAAATGACAAGGACAAAGTGTTTTAGAAGCCCCGCCCCTTGCTCCCCAGCCGGCGAGCTCGACTCTAAAGCAACCAGCAAAGAAAAATAGTCTTATGGACATTTGATAATATACACCCCATATACAGCAATACATAGTGGTCTACCATAATGTTACCAATAATACAAAACCTCCAACGAGGCTGCATTTCAAACCGTTGCTGCTGATATGGTTCAATTCAACTGGCAACCAGTGACGATTGTTTGAGTGTGTGTGGGGTCAGGTTGCCACGTTGAAAAGCGGTCAGCTGATTAACAGAACGCACGGTGGTCTTCTCTCGATCCGACCGACCAGCGCGGAGATTCAGCTGCTGAGCTCGACGTCTCCTTCAAACCAATCAGCTTCAGCATAAGTGCAAAGTTTAGGAGGCACGGACACACACTGCTATTTCAGTCAGGACTCGGATGACTTAAACCTAGTTACAGCGCAGGTCTGTTTGATTCCTCCAGCAGGAACCAGTCTGCTTCTCACCCAGGTCAACACTTCAGCTTCTCTTCTGTGGAGTCTACAACCACGTCTTTTTGCATATTTCGCCTCAGCTGCGTACAGAAACAGCCAGTGACTAACCGTGTGAGTGTGCGTTTAAATGTGCCGGTGCCCCTCCCGCAGTGGTAGAGACAGCATAGAGAAGTATGTGCATGAAGTGAATACAGAGCCTGTACAGTGTGAGCGACCGCCTGTCCACCAGCTACAGACACGACTCCCAGTGCAGCTGCAGGTCCGTGCTGTCCAGAAAGTCAGCTGAGAACACACTCGGGGGAGTGTGTGGTGCCAGCGGGGCTAAATTCGTCCCCCCGTCTCGCTCACCTGCTACACCTCCTCCTCTCCTGACCCTGCTGTCCTCGCTGCCTCCACTCTCAGTCCCCATAGAGATGTCCAGCCAGTCCATGCTGTCCAAAGAGGGGACACCAAAGTCCAAACCTGCAGAAGGAGGGGAGAACCCCAAGTCAGATGTGTCCATGGGAGACGGGGGGTGGTCCAGGATGCTGGGCGTGCTCAGCATCTGGCTGTGGAGGTCGTCGATCAGCGTCAGGTCTCCGTCGGGCTCCATGCCCAGCAGCGGTGTGCCTGTGGTGCTCTCCAGGAAGTCTTCCAAGCGCCCGCTGCCCGTGCATGACTCGCCTGTAGACGGCTGAGGGGACACTAGCGTCTCTGTGGGGGTGGGGGAAGACAGGTGGAGTGGGGACGGGAGGGTAGACGGGGAGGGCGGGCTGGAGTGGAGCGGAGCAAGGGAAGGGTCTGGGTTGGCCTTGAAGCCGGGGATTTCTGAGGAGAGACAGACGGTCTTTTACTTCAGACAGACAGGTGATGTCATGAGTCTGTCTCAGGGGTTGAAACATTTTATTACCTCCACTCTTCAGCAGGATGTCGAACAGGTCATCCATCTGCTGGCTGTTCACACCGTTCTCCTGGTAACACACACACACATCAGCTACAGATGAAACAGCCATTCGCTGCACTAAAACACAGTCATTGCTTGACCTTTGACCTTAACGATAAGTGAGAGATCGGGTGTTTAATTCGAGCATCAACTTCAATAACAGTTCATCAAAGCTTGGCTAGCCAGAATCTAGTTTTGCTCAGCATTTAACCTTTGTGTCAGTTTCAAATGAACTTAATCTTACATGGTGAAACGACAGCTAATGGTTCTGTTGCATCTTTAAAGTCACTCAATGCTCGATCTCTAGTGATGGCACAAGATGTCACACAATCAGATCGAGCAGAGTTCCCTTTTTGCCACGACAGCTAACACCTGACTGATCAGAGTCGTTCCGGGAAACGCAGGATGCATTAGGAAGATGAAAAGCGGACAAATAAACCAAACAGGCTGAAAATGAGAAGCTGGTCAGACAGGCGCCTCAATCCTCGTCCTCCAAGTTCAGTAACGTGAGCAGCTCATAGAGACGGTGGAAAATCAGGTGCAGACATAAACAATCAATACAAGAAAAATGGAACGAACAGAGAAGCTGGAGGACGTACTTTGGAGCGCTGAAGAGGAAGGGAGGTGTTGGGTTTAGGAGAAGGAGGGGTGAAGAGTGTGTGCCGGTCGTAAGGCAGACACACTTCCTCTCTCTGCTGGGGTGGGGGGGGGATGGATAAATGAGCAGAGAAAAAGGAAACAGACGTTTATAAGATGAGAGGAGAAGCAGAGGTGGGATGTGTCTGATGAGGAAGAGGAGGAGGACGGTGTTAACCTTCAGGGAGGACATCAGGCTGACTTGGCTTTCGGTGTCTGACATGTCCTCAAAGAAAGGCTGTAGGTTGGGCGGAGCGGTGAGGGGGGGGCTCGGCTGAGGAACGCCGTTGGTGTCCAGGTGCGGACCGGGTTTCTGTTCCTGAGGACAAGTGGAGGACAGAATCAGACAGGAAACCTGGACAGGCTGAGAGGGTTTCAGTAGGCAATGACGACACCTAGTGGTGTGTTGGTCTTACTGCGTGACAAATGTATCAGACTAAAGCCGGGCGGACACTGTGCGACTTTTTCACTCGTAGCACTCAGCTTCAGCTCAAACTGTACGCAGGGCAGATCTCACGAGTCATGTGCTCACACTGCACGACCCAGTTCTCGCATGCGACCTGACTGCTCACACTGTACGTCTGGTAGCAACACGTCGGCCCTAAAAATATGCTAAAAATAGCAGTTTTTACACAACACGTCAGACTGTTTAGTCTTGTTTTGCCTGTTGTCCTTCGGGAGTGCTGCAGGAGGACACACAGGGATTTATGGGGGTTGGATGAGGAAAACGAAATAAAGAAAGTAAATCTGTGTTTTGTGATCAGTTTAATTTGACATGAACACGACAAACACGCTTTCTTGACAATCCTTGTCAATGTGTGTAAAAAAAGACGTTTAGAAATAAAAACAAACAACGTGTGTTATTAGGGAAATAGCGGGCGAGCGGTGTTGATGCAGGATTGCGCATGCGCCGTGAGCGGTTCTGGCCAGCTCAGTGACCTAGTGGTAGAGTGTCCGCCCTGAGACTGTGAGATCGGGGGTTCGATTCCTGGTCGGGTCATACCAAAGACTTAGAAAAAATGAGACCCAATGCCTCCCTGCTTGACACTCAGCATTAAGGGGTTGGATTGGGGGGTTAAACCACCAAATAGTTCCCGAGCACGGCTGTGTCTGTAGCTCACCGCTCCCCCAGGGGATGGGTCAAATGCGGAGAACAAATTTTGCACACACATCTGTGTGTGTGACAACTAATGGGACTTTAACTTTAACTTTTTGGGTCTCAGCCGCTCGCTGCGCTGCTTCAACCCTCAGGAGGAACGAGCAAAATATCAAACACATGTCCGTGCGAGCTCACGATTGCTGATCGGTAGCTGGTCACGTGTGTTAATCGCCTCTCGTAAGCCCTAGTACACGACGCTCAGCGCAGAACTCGCCCCGATCTCGTGGATTCTTGCACGAGTGGAGAATCGGCTCAAAAAAGTGAAAAAGTCACACAGTGTACGCCCGGCTTAACCCTCTCAGGCTCAAAATGAGTTTTGATAAAAGGACGAACTACTAAGTCCTTCAGCGGTACTTCTGAGTTAGAAAATGCTCATGAAGTACGTACGTGGAGTGACCAGGTAGGTAGGTTTTAACATTGCAAATCTGCAACGCCTGCCTCCAGAGGGTTTAATGCATGTTATTTTTTACAGAAATCAGATTATTTGAATGTGCAGTCATCTTCTCACATGAAGAGTTTCTAACAGGTCAGGTTAGGGCGGGATTTACTTTTACCTTCTCGTCTGATTGGCTCACAGGATCCTCCTCAGGTGGTTCTTTAGACTTGCTGTCGGTGCTGGGGAGTTTACTTGGAGTAGACTGCAATCTCTGGAAGACAAGGATGTTTTACAGATGAATACTCTGACATCAGTAGGAAGCTGGTGTGTTCTATCAGAGGATGGTATCTTCTGCACCTGCAATGTGATGCGTCCATTGATTTTGGCCAGTGAGGAGACTCTGTTTGGCCTGTCTGAGTTGTTACTGGTCAGAGCAATCAGGTAGTGATTGCCGTTGCTGTCGGTGACCAGTGTTGGGGTGCCATTGGCCTTAAGGTCTAAGGAAATGGCTTGAGTGTGGAGAGGAGTGCCGTTCTGTTGGTTGATGGCTGGAGTCACCTGGAGGCAAATAAAACTATATTTTAGTTTTTTCTATCTGAAGTGAAGGAATGATGAAGTGTTATCCATCAAGCAATAACTTAAATGACCATATCAGCCATTTACATTTAATTACTGTGTGTTTAGCTCCTCCCACATGCTTCTCACACTGCCCCCCATCTGGACAACTCTCCAGCAGGAGAGATGAGGCAGTGCAGAATAAACACTCACCACCCAGAGACAAACATTGTTTAAGTCCTAATAAAAGCTGTAGTCAGTTAGCTGCTCTTAGCTTATAGCACTTAGCCCGTTTCAAACAGCATCACCTGCTGCGTGGCTGCTGCTGCTGCCTGTTTCAGCTGCTGCCTCTGCTGCTGCCTCTGCTGAGCCCTCAGCTGTTTCCTCAGCTGGGTCTGGCTCACTGCAGGCTTCTGGCTCGTCACCGTCTGGTTCTGGATCTGCACCTGCACCTGCTTTAGCTGGACCTGGTTCTTCTGCTGAGACTGGACATCTTGGGCTTGTTTGGCCTGATTTTGCTGGACTAACTTGTGCTGTGCAAGCTTTTGCTGTGCTAACTTCTGCTGGGCCTGGAGCTGCTTCTGTTGGGTCTGCTGGATGATGAGCTGCTGCAGCTGCTGCTGCTGGTGGAGCAGGATCTGGGCCTCCCTCTTCTTCTGCTGCTGTTTTTGGGGGTTTGTTTTGACCTCTGTGTTTTTCTGCAGCTGGCCGTGCTGTTGTTTCTGTTGCTCAGCTTGGAGCTGCAGCCGATGGATCTGCTGCAGCCTCAGCAGAGTCTCCTGAGAGCACTGCATGGGTTGGGGCGGCTTCTTCAATTCAGCCTCTTCCGTTACCCCCTCCATCCCTTTCTCAGGCTGCACTTCCTCCTTCACCATCAGCACGGTGCCATTAGGGAGCACGGGGGGTTGAATGGCTGAGGCTTTTATTAGAGTCTGGAGCTTAACCTCTGGGGATGTTCTGCTCTTCTCATTTCCTTCTTTCTTCACCACCACACCACCTGCCATCTTGCCTTGCTCCAGCTGTGACCTCAGAGTCTCCACTAGCCTCTGCTTCTGCCTCAGCATCCGGGTTAACTCCTCAATCTGTTTGTCCTTCTCCTGGAGCATCTGGTCTTTGTCCATAAAGGATATGTCCATGGAGACTCCATGTAGGGAGTCTTTGGGCTGGACAGGTCCAGATGAACTCCTGGACATGCTGCAGGAGCTCTGAATCTCCTCCTTGACAACAGAGAAAGGCTGGGAGAGAGGAGAAACGTTTGGCGGGTGCTGAGGGGAGTGGTGGAGGGTGAGCTGGGTGAGTGGAGAGCTAACCTGAACCAAAACAAGAGAAGATCTTTTAAACACCAACAGAAACAAACATTCACCCTAAAATGATCCAAGTCTCACCATCTCTCCAAAAATATCTCCATTGCAGCTCGTCTCATCTGGACTCAGCCCAGCCAGTGACCGCTCCGACGGCGTTGGTGACACCGGAGGGCTGGAGCTGGTGCTCCCAAACCTCATGACCCGACCCGGAACCGCCTGAGCCAACGAGGACAGAGCTAGCTTGAGCCCTCCCTCTGCGGGCGGCTGCTCGGGGACGAAGCTCGGAGATGAAGCGCTGGTGTTAGCAGCCGAGGTAAAGCCCTGCTGACCTAACGGAGATGGGCTGTTGTTTTTCAGAGCCGATGCGTTGCTGAGATTTTGTTCCTGGTAGTTGCGGAGCCTCTCGATTAGATCGTTCTTTGTTCCTGAGACGGTCAAACCACGCAGTTTCAGTTCTTGCTTTAACTCAGCGACCTGCAGGAGGAGAGACAGGAACGGGCGCTTAGGCTAGACTGAAGACAGCACTGGTGACCAGATGATTCCTTTATTATATCAGGTTACTTTGAACTCATCCAGATTGGCTGGTAGAGTGGCCGGTTTGGCTCCTCCCACTGCGATCTGGCTCTGGCGAGAAGTCGGGGTCTGACCGGAGGGGGCTGTGGTCGTGGTGTTGTGAGCGCAGCGGGAGGGGGAGGGGCCAGAGCTGGTGGTGGGAGGCTGCTCAGCTTGTGGTCTGAGTGGAGACAGAAAAACGTTCAGTTTAGCATAAATCTCTCCTTCTCTTTCTACAGAACAGCCCATGATAAATGTTCCATCTCCAGTTATTATAACTTCTACTCTGGAAAATATGTAAACGAAGCATGAGAAAAATAAAAAAGACACTTTTGACCTGTTTGACGTTGTAAAACAGTTGTCGGGGTTTGAACTGTAGCTGACAAATGTCATGCTAGGCTGAACTGAGTGTGGCTTTTAGCTCTGACCTCTGCTCTGAGATGCAGCTTTTATAAAGTCTCACAACAAGGAAACAACAAGCCACAGCAGCGCTCTAGAGGGGACCGCCACCACTCATCAGCCCATCCCACGCTGGTTTGCATTCGACTGTCCGTTAAATTACCTCATGGATGCACAAATGCAGATGATTACGTTATGGAGCCAACGCCATTGAAAAATGTCTGAGCCTCAGTTAATTATACAGATACGGAGTTAAAATGGGTGCAAGCTCTATTTTCTGTGAGGTTTCCACTTGTTGTCAGGACCCAAGCAGCTGAAATGCCCTCAGCTTCTCAACGAACGACAACATCAGCTTAAAAGTCTAGCCTGAAAGGTGGCAGACGATCTGAATCCCTGCGGATAATTTCCAATTATTATGTGAAAAAGGTTATGTGAATTATTTAAAATGTGTTTAGAGAGTGGATCTATGTGTCTCGTACAGTTAAAAAGAGACGGTGATGGTTTGTGGTAAATCATCACAGCAAGGCTGTTGCTGTTTGTTAAAATCCACAAACTAATCTATCACACAAAGCTGAAGCGGCGGCACTTCAGCTCACTGCACCAAGGTCCATTTCTAAAGACCATCCAGACTGAGGGAGAGAGGATGGAGTTAGTCATTCACACACCCCTCAGCTGTAAAAACCAGTGTGAAGCTCTGGTGCTGCAGCGAGAACCAGAACCTCCTCACTCTCATCATAATAATGGGTACACACCATGACATTTAAAGCATCTCAAGTTTAATTGTTTGAATACATTTTGAATCATTTTCAGGTAAAAACCAAATGTGCTGGAATGCTGGGCCTTTAGCTTTACTCCTAATCTGGTCACCAACCCCCCGTCTTATTTCTCACCCCTCCTGACTCTCAGAAACCAAACTGAGACGAGTTTCAGACCAGATCCAGACATCTGTGACTATTCTGAGGGAAAATCTGCCTCGCGGGTGTTTGACACTTACTTAGGGGGGGCAGGCAGTATGGTGTGGTAGTTGTAGTGATGCTGTTGGTGACTGAGGATCTGCAGTTGCAGGAAGAGCTGCTGCTGGTGGAGCAGCTTGGCATAGGAGGAGTCCATCTGAGGAGGACGCTCCTTATCTGCCTTCTGGTCTGGGGGGATGTACTGGTGGTACTTCAGCTTCTTCACCTTCAACAAGAGACGGAAGAAACACAAGTGAACTAGCCGTCGGTCTGGGCCTACATACAGAGTGTTAAGAGACGTGAACGGTGAAGCAAAACTGACATAAAAACGTCCAGTTCCTGTTAAACAAAAAAGTCTAAACTATCTTTGAATTTTTGAGTTAATCTTGGTTCCAGAAAGCCACAACTCTTCCCCTTTTTTAAACACGGACTTCTCTTAGCAGGAGTGTTTAATGTCACAGCTAAAGCCCCACTTCTATGGTGGTAAGGGAACAGACACCCAAACCATCACACGTCCATCCTGTTCTGAGAAATCAACTTTCAGTTTTTCTCAGAGTGTTTTGGGAACAATTAAAAGTGAAAAATGTCCCACAAAAGCAGCGCAGCGTGACAAAGTCACTCCATTTATACACAAACACCGGCCCTGGCTTGAATATTCATCCTTCCTGTGGTGGGCGATGAACGGGTCATTAAACAAAGCTCACGCTGACCTTCGGCTTGCTGTCCTTTGGTTTTTTAGATCTTTGTGGGTGACGGTCCAGACTCGTCTTCGCCTGAGACTGCAGCCGGAAAACCAGGACAAATTGGGTTTGGAGAGGGGAGATGTGAGGAAATGAAGAAATCAGGAAGAGTGAGCCGGATATATAGCTGCTCAGTAAATAACAGCTTATTGTCTAAATGATTTATAAATCTAGAAAACTTCAATACGTTTGACTCAAAGAGCTCAGAGGATGAAACGAGCATACCTTGACCTGTCCCACGGAGGAGCGGGAAGACACGGAGGTCATCGTGGTCCCGTTGGTTATTTTTGGGAGAGAGGAGGTGGTCTCGGACATGCTGACATGGGGAAGTGGAGGAGGAGGAGGAGGAAGAGGAGGAGGCTGTGTAAGAAACTGATAAGAAGGCATGATTAGTCTGAGTTTATAATGGTCATCAAGCATTCTTTAGCTGAGACGGTACCTGTGTGGGAGAGATGTCCCCGTTCTGGGTGAGCCCGTCGGATGGGGACAGCTGAGTGGCGACACTCAGGGGAGAGTCGTGATTGGTTAGCTGGTCTGGAGACAGAGCATCACTGCTGTCTTCGTCTAAAGACGAGCTCTCCCCCCCAGCGCCTTTCGGAGAATCTGCAACACATTTTCACAGATTTAGTGAAACAATAAGAGCACGCCAACAAGATTTTCCAGAATTCACACTTCGAAGAGACAGCTGACACCCAGCTGGTGGCAGACTAGAAATGAGCAGCATGTCTCCAAAAAGTTGGAACAGGGGAAAGTTTATCACTGTGCAGCATCCCTTCTTCTTTTAGTTAGCACTACAAAAGTAGACAAGAGCTGCTAATGGAGTACAAGGAGGGATTCAGTGAACAGAAAAGGGTTTCTTTCAGGAGAATTGATGCTTGAACAGAATCATGTGGAGAAAAACTAACTGACCATATAGGTTTTTGACACTCCCAGTGTGTTTTGCCCTTGTTCTGCCCTCCTTACATGCACTTCAAAAGTAGTCGTGACAAAACTGGAGCATGCTTGCAAATTATTTCTCAGGTTTGAGTTGATTACATTGTGTTTGTGATTGTAGGAGCAGAAAGTTCAGAACGACCATAGTCATTAACCCAAACCCTGATGCAATATGGCCGCCTTCCTCACAACAAACTGTGACTCGTGTGTAGCAATCAGAACGCCTAACTTTAGGGAAGTTCAACAACACAATGTGTTCTGTATTTCATCTGTCGAAAGACGATTATGTCCACACGGAGAGGCTGCGTAACTCCAGCAGGATGATGGAGCTGCTGCAGCAACAGCGGGCGTGTTGATCCACTCACATGTTGGTAAACACCTGGATACTGGGACCGCTCAGGTGACGCGCATTCTAACTGAATGTACACAAAACGTCAGGAGTGGTGTAAGAGTGCAGGAAGTCATTAGTCCAGAGGCGACGAGTTCTGACTTGAGTAGAAGTCCTGTAGCTGTCACAGGGCTAAAGCAGATTAATCTGACCCGGTCTCACTGAACCCAGAACCCAGAACCTGAGCTAAGTGCTGCTGAATGTTGTGCAACTGCATGGCTATTAATGCATTACAGCACACAACGTACTGTATACTTGTGCAATTGCACCGAAAATGTTCAGATGTTTCAAACAGGTAAATCACGAGTTGTTTAAATGTAAGTAAATGTGTGGATTACCCAGCGGTGAGTGCTGCAGGGGGCAGCTGACAGACAGGATGTTCTTGTGGACCAGTTCGATTGGACCCGGTCTGTGAGAGATTTTGTCGTTGAGGTCGTCGGCCAGCCGCGCTCGCTTCAACTTCAGCTGCTTGGCCTGCAGGGACGGCTCTGCTGACGTCTCTGGGGAGCAGACCACAACAACAGCATGAAAATTCATTTTTTCCTCTCTGAGCGATAAACGAACTACTAATCTTTAAACCTTGCGGGACTTCAGAGGAAAGTCTTGCTGTAGGAAGCAGGTCCTCTAAAGATTAACTATCAAGAGCCAAGCTGCATCACTTCCTCCATCTGATTGCTTAGCTAGTGTAATGGAGGATTCAGGATCCCGCCCAACCCCGCCTCCCCATCGGACTCTGATGTTGTATCTGTGATGTTCGTGTTTCTATGTTGAGGAGTTTTTTTGTATAATAGAGTTACGCCCCGCTGGGTCTAACTCTGCTATGCCTTTTTTTTTTTTTGCCTTACCCCAATTATCCTCATGTAACACCCTTTTCATCAAATGAAATGAGCGCCGTTCTGGCTGCTCTCGTGACTGCCTGTACCTGTATTTGTCTACATGTGTGTGTGTTTAATCTTGGTCAGGATGTGTTCGCGGAGTCAAGTTCCTATGCTCTGGGTCGCTGGAGCGCTGGCAATAAAGCTGATTCTGATTCTGATGTCCAAAAGGGTCAATTTCACCTATATATTTACCAACATAGTGACCTTTCATCTACAACATAAATCCACTTTCTGCTTGGCGTTCTAAATCCAGAAGGTTCTGTTCAGCGCGTGTTTACATACCATCATTCAAACAAACATTCTCACCCAAGGTTCTTGCACTCACTGTAAAAGCCAGACGTCAACATTATTCACTCTGAACAAGTGAAGACTCCACGATGTTATAGTTATAAGTTAAATAACCAAATGTGATGAATGAACAAGATGTTTAAATCAAATGTTTGAATAATCTGTGCTTAAATCAATGAATTTAAAATGAATATTGTTCTTACAACGATCCATTTATACTCATAAATCAGTATGTTGTAAGTAAGTTAATCATTGTTTACACTCACACATTACAATAAGATACATGTTAAGGTTAAGAATTTTGTATCTGAAGAGGGCGTGGCTTTCTGAGGGATATTAGTAAATACAAATGTGTCAAATTCTGATTGGCCAAACTTGGCCAGGAATCATAAAAGTAGTTTAATAAAACAGGAATTACTTCCCGAGTAATTCAGACTCCAGCTGGCCCCACGATTCGGCCAAATCGGGAAAGAAGCCTCTTTTGAAACAAACTCCTTTGACCTTAAGTCAAAACCTTTCTGCGACGCTGCAAGTGATTACAGACACCACAGCTCTTTTCAGAGCTACTTCACACCTTGGACACCTAATCTGCCGACCCCGGGTTGCATCTCATGGCCGGGGAAGCTGCTAATCTCTGAGTATTGTGGCCTCGACGTCCGGTGACCTCACCACTCTGACCGCAACCCTCCGGACCGCCGGGAGCAACTCATACCAGGGTATCATAAGCCTGCATGCTGGTGTCTGATGAGGTTTATAAATAAACAACTCTCTAGTTTATAACAAACAACAAATTATTTTACAACCAGATTTCTCAATTTCTCGCAGATACAAAGAACGGTTGCTACAACCGCTAGCTTCCATCACAACACCTCACATCACATCCCATTATTCATATCTTGTCATGTATAAATTATTAGTTTAGGAAAAATAATTAAATTCATTTTATAAACTATACACCTGACTCTGTCTGAATTAATACGAAGTGTGTTTATGGTCCCTGAATAAGCAAAGAACCCTAGAATGTTCTGATTAAACATTCAAACATCAGTCAGGTTGATATTTCATATTTATATGGAATATCACATCTTATTGGTCATAATTAATATGTATTAATTGCTACACTAGTTGTATAAACCAAACGAACAAAATGAGCAGATGGTGGGAAACGATAACAAATGTGACCTTTTCAACAACACCACTAGCTCTAATCCACCAAGAGTCCTGTGCACGCACAGGTCTGCCCTGAAACGTCTCATTTGTGTTACTGATGTGCAAACCTGCAGGTAAATGAGAGGTGATGGGATAAACCTTGTGCAAACATCTTATTAATAAGTAAATTAGTGTCATACATCCATCAGCAGGTAGGAAACCACAGCTCTAGTCAGATCTCAAGTAAATAAAAAGGTGAAATTATGCTTTTTTTTGGTAATAAAAAAAATAACTGTTACAAAAATGTTGTGTGTGTACTTCACACATTAGCATCAACACACACACACACACAGCTTTTCACATAAACTCACCCTCAAGAATGTGCATCCTGACCAGCTCAGAGCGCTCCGGACGACACCGGATCTTCCTCTTAAGGTAGTCCTCAGTCTGTCGAGGAAACAGAAAATTAAGACTGTATCTGTCCACAACAACAAACATGCAGAAAATTAAGAAAAAATGCACAGATCAAAGGAAATATTGCGTGAACTCTACTACGACCCAGCTCGAGCTGGAGCCAACGCCCACCTTAGCCAACCACCTGATGCACAATGTTAAAGATGATGCAGCAGACTCACCCTTGCTCGCTCCAGACTCCTCCGCTGTTCATGAAAAGCTGCAGGGCTCTTCAGAGCTGCACAGAGAGGTGGGAAAAAATGGCTTAATGCTGATAACTCAGGATCCGATGAGGAACAATGACCCTCTCTGCAAGAGTTGATGTGAAACAAAGTCTTAAAGCAGAAGTAAGTGCATGAAGAGAAAGCCACAAGTGTTTTTCTACGACACACTCTTGTGACATCTTAGCACACTGATGGGCCTTGTCTCACTGACAAACGGCTTCTATCGCAGTTCCTGCTGCTTTTGTTGGGGCTTTTACTCTGAAACTGCAGACGGATGTGCCGCGATCTGAGTTCCCCTAATCAGCCTCCTTGATTGGATTTCCTTTATGGCTTAAAATCAGACAAGGAGTTTGTATATAACTCATTAGGCTTTAAGTCTGCAGACTGATTTGACTAAATATCCACAAGTTAACATGATAAACTGACATTTTTACCTGAATCATTGCATTTCCTTTATTTCATGATAGTTTTGTGTCGATTCTATACAGAGGCTGTTAGCATTAGCTTAACAAAAACTAGTTCAGTGTTTTGCACGGCATATGAGTGAGAGTCTGAAGGACGTCAGCTCTGGGTGAACATGAGTGCAGCGAGAAGACAGATGAGACTCTGGTGACTGATGGATGACTGCCCTCACAAAAACATCAAATGTTCATCACGGCACTCAGCCTGGACCTTCTGTAATGTGCCCAGAGAATACGAGTGGAGTAAACACGATGGTGTGGCGAGAGATCATCATCATCATCATCATCGTATCAAAGCACCTAAAACTTTAGTTTGGTAAAAACGTGTCGGCTTGACTAGAGGAAGGATGATGGGAGGACAGTGATGGTTACAGTGATGTAACAGAGCTGTCCTCTGATTGGCTGAGGCCACTGAGGGAGAGTGGTTGCAGACAGTTTGGCTACAGCAGTGAGTCAACAGATGACAGGGTGGGGGTCGGACACATTCCTCGTGTCACAACCTCAGAACATTTAAAAGAACGTGTCAGCTGCAGTGAAGTCCAAACTGGATCCACCAGTAAAAACACGGATTGATGCCGCTAGACTGTGAACAAAAACACAATCTTATCCTTTTAACTGTAGCGTTTGTTTTCCTCTCAGGCAATTTTTCACCTTCTGATTTTCAGAAGGCATCTAGTCAGAACTACAGCGCGTTACAGATCTAAACCAGCGGATGCTTCTCCACCCTAACTATTCATAGTCCTCTACTGACCAGGATCAGTGCAAGTCTGATCATCTTCAGGAGTTGCTTAAGTTTAAACTTCAAGGCAAAAACAACGTCCAAATCGAAGGCCGATCTTGATAGAAACAGGAAACGAAGATCAAATATAGTTTATTGGTAAAAATCAGACAGTGACTAGAATCATTCAAAGTTCAGCATGACCAATGTCATCAGCGAATGGCCAATCGGAAACTCAAAAGCCTGTGAAGACGTGAGCACCAAGCGGCTAACAGAAGGCTTGGGTCAGTGATTTCACCATCACTAAGTGCTGGTTGGTTACAGCTAGCTACGGTAGTCTTTACTTACAGAACCAGACTACTCACGAATAAAAGATGCCCTCTGTTATTTAGAACTCTGTGAGGTGGACTGGGATTAACCATGATGTCAGAGCAGTAGTCGGTATCGGCCTTCAAAATCTAAATCTGTACAACTCTTTAATTTCTCATGACCTCCTTTATCTCAGTAGGCTTTAATTCATCTTTAAAACAAACACATTTTACCATCAGAACATCTAAAAATCTGAACACACAATTATAAAAATCACCTTCATAGAGCTGAAGAAAACACAAAACTGAAATTGGATAAATGCTAATTCAAGCAGAAGCGGAGTCCTATCTTCAGGATGTTTATAGTCTGACTGTCTGAAACTCTCAGGACTGAGTCAAGTGTTCGTTAGTCTGATGGCTCTCATCAGAAAGAGGAACTGCCTACATGTGTGGATGTCGTAGTAGACTGGTCCTATGAGCAGCTAGTAACAGCGGAGCACAGAGACACGGTTTGTGTGACAGCCTTCCCCATCGTGAGCCATGAGTGAGTCCATGAATGTTAAGTGACAGTGTGACATAGATCTGTCAAATCCTAGCGTTTCACTGTCTACTCTCTATCAGAAGCTGATGCAGGAGATAGGTGTAGGGGATCAGCATGCATGTTAAGCTCTCAGTCACTGATTTTAATTTGAAATAAGACTAAAATGGCTTTTCAGTGAGCCACACCTTTGAATACAAACAATATAAAGAACCTAAGAACCTTGCTAATTTTCTGAACCACTCATTCCTAACTAGGGTCAGCTGGTGTCTAACTCCAGCTGTCATCAGGTGAGACGTCGGGGGCACCCTGGACATATCTCTAAAACATCACAAGGGCATCCAACCGGGCACACACTCACTAACACAGAGGGACGATATCTTCAATAAACCTGACATGCATGTTTTTGATAAGTGGGAGAAAGCCCACACGTGCATGGAGAGAACAGGCTAAGCCATGCAGAAAGGCCACAGCTGGGATTTGAACTTGCAACCTTCTTCCTGCAGGGCAACAGTGCTACCAACTGCAACATATATTTTCAGTGCCTTGTAATAATAATAATAATAATAATAATAATAATAATAATAATAATAATAATAATAATAATAATGTCTGTGTTTAAATGTTTCAGCTAACACATGTTTTTCAGAACTACTCAGCATCATCTGTGCTAAATCATCACAGAAAGACTGATGCAGCAGCGGCAGCAGTAGCAGGCCACTGAGATCCTTTTCTAAAGACCAGCCTGACTGAGGGAGAGAGGATGGAAAGTTACTCATTCACACCACCCTTAGTTGTGAAAACCAGTGTGAAGCTCTGGTGTTGCAGCGAGAACCAGAACCTCCTCATCATACAAACATGATGCTAACACTGTTTGACAGTTAAAGCATCTCAAATGATTGAGTGGATTTTTTTTAGATTTCTTTTCAGGTAAAAAGACACACAGGTAGATTTCCACTTAAACCAACACTTTTCTCCTGATGCGTATTTATTTTGTTGTTTTTATTTGCTCTGCTAGTTGCTACAGCAGAGGAGTCACAATTAAACAGACCAGTTTGCTGATCCCAGTACAGCGAGGACCAAGCAACAGTACCTAACTACTGCTAAGCTGAATGAGAAACTTCACAACCTCACCAAAACTATCAGGTCAACCAACCTAACCAAGTTAGTGACATTACAAGCCTTAGTTACAAGTTAGTGGACTAGTTCCTGTCAACTAATTCATAACCAGTCAGTAGCTCAGGAGGTAGAGCGGGTTGTCCACCAATTGGAGGGTTGTGGGATCGATCCCAGCTCCTGGTGGAAAATGCTGCTGTTGTGTCCTTGGGCAAGACACTTATGCCACCTTGCCAGTTGGTGGTGGTCAGAGGGACCTGTGGTGCCTGTGTTCGGAGGCGTAGTCTCTGTCAGTGCGCGCCATGGCGGCTGTGGCTATAATGTAGCTAATCACCATCAGTGTGTGTGAATGGACGAACCCCAAAGTGAAAATGTGTCTATTACTGTATTCCCCAGAGTTAGAGAAGGGAGAATAAAGCATTTTGTAACCAGTGCAGTAATTCTCCTGATCCAGCAGCAGTCTGTTTGCCTTTGCCTAGCAGAAAAAAATGGAGTGAATGGGAACTAGTAGCATTTTGGTTGCAAATGACTCAATAATGATACCAATTACTCCTGGTGAGCTCAGTAACCATGGTGACTGATAATGAAAAGTAAGAACACAAAGGATTTGCAGGAGCCGATTTAGATTTGAGAGTGGGAGATCGGAGTTCCAATCCCAGTCGGGTCATACCAAAGACTTAAAAAATGGGACCCAGCGCCTCCCTGCTTGGCACTCAGCTTTAAGGAGTCAGATTGGGGGGTTAAATCACCAAATAGTTCCCGAGCGCGGCCACGCCTGCAGCTCACTGCTCCCCATGGGGATGGGTCAAATGCGGAGATGAGTTTCACCGGAGTGTGATGATGACTGAGACTTTAACTTAACTTAATAGCAGCTAACTATGCTAGCCTGATCAGGCTGTGCCAGTATACTTCAATAATCTACAGAAAATAAAACTATGTGTCGTGAGCCAGGGTGAGTACTCGCTCTCATCTTAACCATCTCTGAGTGTTTGCAGGAGAGGGAGCAGCAGCTGATTAGCGGGTTGACTATTTAAGGAGATGGTGAACACTGCTCGACGCCAGATGATTACTACAACTCAGTAGTTTCCAGCCTTCGCTCTAGTTCTCTTGGTTACTTGTAACTTCTCTCGTGTACTTTTGGCTCTAGTGCATTTTTGGTCCTAGTGTGATTTTTGCATTTTTGGACTCACCCACCTCAGGTTCTCTGCTCACCTGGAATTACTCGCTCAACCTCCATAGGACTCCTGGACTCCGCATTCAGTCACATTCATCATCCTCTTCCCAGACCGACCCGCTCTCACTCTCAACCCTGCGCTCCCTCTCCAGCTCAGAACAACTCCGCTCTGGATCCACCCCGGCTCTCAACCTCCTCTCATTCCTCAAACCCAATCATCCCCCGTAAGTCTCCTCTCAGTATTCCTGCCTTGACCGTTTCCCCTGGACTCACCTCGTGTTTGCTCTCTCTCCAGACCCTGGTTCCAGTTTCTCCTGATCCGCTGGAATTCCCAGCGCGCCCTCAGTTCCCCTTATTAATAAAATAATTTTTTACTTTTCCACCAATCTGTGTACGGTGCTGTGATTCTGCATGTCTTGGGTTAGACTCCTGCCCCAAACCATGACGCTATGTGCTGCCAGTTTAACCGCTGTGTGTACATATTAATATAACTCCGGAAATAAATTATTCGATAGCTTACCAAAATAACTTCCCCTAACTGGGCTGCCCATTAGCTTGTCTCATTAATTTCTGCAGTAATCCAGAAAGGTACGGAGGTTCTACCGGTCTCAGGAGGTTCTATTAGGGATGCACCGATATGAAATGTTGGGCCGCTACGATATCGATATTAACACTGTTATGGCTGATAATCGATATTGGCCAATACTGAAATGGCCGGCATTTATGCATCTGAAATCATCAGATTTTGCACAGACAGAATATTATGCAAGCTGAATTGTGAATGCCTTGCTTTACTTCTATAGAGTGCAAACTATGTGTGTGTGTGTGTGTGTGTGTGTGTGTGTGTGTGTATATACATGTGTAGACATTTACTTTATTATAGTCACACACCACACACATTTTTGCTTCTGAGATGATCACTGTCACATGACTACACAGTTACACATCATCACCCCCTCACACTCTGAAACAGATACACAAACAGAAACAAGATGGTAAAAGTATTGGTTGTTAATACTGTCCCAGTTTTACTTATCAAACTGATATTGATATGGTAGAAAAGAACTAACATCGGCCGATACCAATGTTAATGCAAATATTTAGTGCACCCCTAGGTTCTATTTTTGAAATTCGTCAATTATCTTTTCAATCCAACCTGTGTGTGTCGTAGCTTTCCCAAATGACTATTTTTTCCTTTCTGGAGCTGGCAAGGTTAGCCGCGCCGCTGCTGTCATGCTAACAGAACTTGGCAGGGGTCCAGACAGATTTATAGTTGCGACGTGTAGATTATTATTTTAGCTTAAACCTCTGAGCGAATAGCCCTGACCAGCCCCTGTAGTCTGTGCATCAGCTGTGCTAACGGTCACTATAGATCTGAAGGAATCTAGTGTTGTTCATACGTTTCTCCTCACAAACAGTTTTAATTTAATGTTGCTACGTTAGTTGGAAATGCATGACGGACTCTGGCATATGGCTCAGACTTTTTGCTGCAGCTGTAATCATTGAGAGCACGAAGTTGATCAAAATACAAGAGGCCGACCAATATGGTATTTTTAAAGCCGATGCTGATACCGATTTTTAAAGAATTTTGCTGCCGATGGCCGATATCTAAAGCCGATTATTAAGGCTGACTCTTTTATCCAAAGCCTGATTATTATTGTGTTTTTAAATCAGCTTTAAAAAATACTTTTGGCCGATGACCGATATAGAAAAAATTGAATATACCAGTCGGCTTCTACAAAATCCAGCTAATCTCATAGTATTAGCATTAGCAGCTGCTTCCTTGTGAGATGTCAGTGACATATGCAAAACACGGTTCTTCAGTGTTTAGAGAAGGTATTTTTCTTTTTCTATAGTGATTTATGACAAAACTGCTCAACAAAATGAAAAACGGAACCCAGTTTATTTTTTATAGATGGTTAAGTGTAGTTAAACTGAATTTCTACAATTTTCATGCTGAGTTTGGCCAATAACTTAAAAATATTCAAACACTTTCTAAACCTTGAAAAAAATCCCAAAATGATTCAAGCTCCTTGTTTCCATCTCGGAGTGTCTGCGTGTCCTCTGAATGTGCTGTACTTCCTAGACTTCAGACTCATTTCATGTGTGATCACATGTTAAACAAGAACATTTCTATGAGAAAATGTGGACTTTTCACAACCACTATTATCATCCTAGCATTTTAGAACATCGCAGCCCTGATATAAACGAAGATCCACTCCTGCTAGGGAGCAAGAGCTAAACTCTGATCCAGGTAGGGTTGGATGGTAGTAAAACCACTTCCTGTCAACTGACACAGCAGAGAATGCGTAGCCTGCTATAGCTTGTAGTGTTTCAGACATTGGTGCAGCCAAACTGAGGTGATCAAGTTATGTACATCCTAATATTAGTAGAGTGGAGCTGAAATATCACACAGGGTAGTGGTTGATACTGAGCTGCTCTATAATGATGAATAACAGTCATCTGCTAATCGAACGATCAGAAACTCTAATCCCCCCGTCACAAGTGTCCTTGGTCAAGAAATTCAACCTCTTGTTGCCCCTGAAACATTGATCCATGTTTGTGTTTGTTAGAGAAAAGGCACTACGGCAGGCTGCAAAAACAAATGATGAATAGATGATTTCAGTTTACCATCAGGCCAGATCAGTTGAATGCAAACGGAAACAGCCTTCATGACCTTGATCTGAAGTGAGTCACTGCTTGACACCAAAATGTTTCACCAAGACTTTGGTGGGGTCAAAAAAATGCTCAAAGTATATTTAAGTCAGATAAAATTGATGAATCAGGGGTCTTATTTAACACAGCTTCATGCTATTTTTTTGTTTGCCAAACAGCAACATCTTTAAACGTCTGTCTAAAGTGAACATATTCGTTAGCATCTCGCTCATATGCAGAATGGGTTAGCTGTCATATGCTGATTACTGGTTTTATCAGAAAGTCTCGGGTCTTATGCTGAAGCAAAAACACACTTAGAAGAAAAAAGTGCATCTATCTACAGCTTGTGATGTGGGTATTTCTTGAAACAGGAAGTGAAATGGTAAGAAGAGGAAGCTGTCCTATTAGATAACAAAGTGGTGCAGCTAAATACGGCAAAAGCAAAATGAGCAAATTCGATAGAGCAGATAGAGGTTGACAGTTACAGTTTTAAATAACAAGCTCAGTCAGGCCCCAAAACACCCCAAACACAGTGGGATAACACGTGAAGCCAGCACAAGATAACCAAACAGGTGATAACACAAATGAATGAACAAATCAGATCATCAGATCAGTCCACTGGAGAGTCTGATGAGCAGCTTGGTGCTGGACATGGACCAGATCAACACTTTGACCTCAGTTTACGATCACACACTGCTCTGGTGTTCTGAAGGCATCTCCTGATACTGAAAATCCTACACACTGTTGCTGTGTGTGAATGGACTGTAGTCTAAAGCGCTTTGGAGTCCTCTGACTCTGAAAGGTGCTACACAAGTGTGGGTCATTTATCATTTATTTATCATTCATAAAAAGGACCTTTGGACAAGTTTGACACTTCAAAATTGATAAAAACTAAAGTTTCTGAATCCTTAGCAGCAGATTAAAGTCAAACTACAATAACCAGATGGATGACTGAGCATGCAAACCTGCATAAATCAATCAATCCAAAGAGGAAGAAACATATGTTTAAATGTACCGGTATACTTACGTGGCATGATCCCTTGACTGACCAGCTCCTCTCGTGTGCGTCTCTGCTGAAGCTTGAGCTGGAGGACTGCATGGAGACAGAAGAGGTGAGAAGAGAGTCAGTAACTGCCGGTGAAAGTAGTAAGCAGCACGGATGGAGCGCTGAGCGTCGTGATCAGTAACCCATCCACCGCGTTTGAACAAACAAACACATCAAGCTACATGTATGTGATCAGACTGACGTGAAGAGGACCTGCTCTCTCGGGCAGCGTCCTCATCCTCTCATTTCCCCTTCTTTTTTTTTTCTTTTTTTTTCGAAGTTACACAGAAGGCAGGTACAAAGTGGGTGTGAACCGACTCCTACCCACTTCCTGTTTCTTTTTTCCGTCACTGTAACATGTATGTATGAATGTCTGTGGAAACAGACACCAACCACTCACATGAAAGAAAAAGCAAGTGCAGCTAAAAGGACAAAAAAACGTCAAACATCCTAAAGAAGAGAGAAGAAAGAAAACCAGCCTAGACTCAGAAGGAGATGGTGCATTTGCACTGACTGCACCGTCATTACAAAACAGGAAGCATTTGTTATATAACACAGAAGCTGGGGGAGAGTTTTACAGAATACAATGCTTGGCAAACGATCATGTTTAACCTTTCGGTGTTCCTGCATAAATCATAGTTTTGCTCATTTTTGTACTTTAGGAGTCACGGTGATCTAAAAAAAATCAGCTTTCACAGGTTTCTGGACCTTTGCTGTGATCAAGACTGACAATGAAGTTTGGGTTTCATCCTACGAGATTTTTAAAATAACCACATCTATATCAACAGATTGGGTGACATCCTTCAAACCTCCCTCAAGTTATAGCTCCAGTATTACCACCTGCCTGAAGGTGCTAGACATGTTGTCTTACTGACACAACTTTCACAAGGATGATGGTCCAAATTTCTGTTTTGTTTGATGCCAAAACCAACAAACACTAACCAGAACACAACATTTGATAGTTTTATAAAATCAATCACAATGAAAAACAAGAGAAAGGAAGAGCTTTGCAGGTGTGTATGGCTATTTTGTTGCTCAATGTATTGCCACACAGTCGAGTGTCACACGTATCAGAGATGGACTAAAAGGGGAAACTCACTTTTTGCATCTTTTTGTTGCCATGTGGATCTCTACTGCCTCTATAAACACTTTGAACATGAATAAATGCCATCCATTTGTTTTGTGTCAATGTTTGGGTTCAGGAATCAGATGTTGCTACAAGCATTTAGAAGACGTGCTTTATTGTATACGTCTCCCCCCCCCCCAATGCAATCCCACCTGTCGACACTGGAGAAGCAGAAGCTCAACTCAGCCCGCGAGTTCATAGCAGCCAATGAGAGGATGGGTGGGTGTGGTCAAACACAGCATATCTGCATTAAAGTGACAGAGCCCTGAAACGACTCATTATGAATGTGTTCTGTATAGAGCTCCGGACCCCACGTGACTCTCAGTTAGTGGACGCCATTTTGGCATGCAAAAAAGGTAAACAAACACGGATGTAACCATGAACATGAACGGGATCCGCTTGGATTTTACTTCGTCGGAGTTTACTTCACACTTTAAAACAGAAGAAATCGTTTTATATAGTCAGAAATTAAATAGACTAAACATCTCCGACCCTTACCGTGCCCCTGGGATACTTTTTAAAAACGCCAGAATATGTCGGAGCGGACTTCTTACCGGCACAACACCGGACCTGGCCGGGGGAACCCCTTGGGATTCCCCCGGCCGGAGGAGCTGGGGAGAAGGTCTGGGACTCTCGACTCTACTGCCCGCTCCGACGCCAGAAGCTGTCGGAGCGGGCTTCTTACCGGCACAACACCGGACCTGACCGGGGAACCCCTTGGGATTTACCCGGAGGAGCTGGCTCCGGCGGCTGGGGAGAGGGAAGTCACGCTACTGCCCCCGCAACCCGACTCCGGATATGCAGATGAAAATGGATGGATGGACGGACAAATAACAGATTTACACGTAAGTAGTCTCGGTGTGTGATCTGACAATTGATCAACCATTACTTAAAAATTAAATACAGCTTAGCCGGTTAATTGCTGTGATCATAAAACACGTAAACGGCAGCTCGCAGAACTCACGAGGCAACGTTTTACGTGATGTTTACTTGCTGCTGTGAGTAATAAGACAGAAAAAGCCACGCCAAAATAAGTTTAGGAAGCCCGCTAAGAATCATAATAAAAGCATTTAAAATAAATACCACACACAGTTGAGGAAACGTTGGTTTAAGTACCTGATATGAAGTGGTCGCTGCATAAGTGAAAACCTTTACTCTCGGGATCCCACAGCTTCATTTTAGCCCGGTCACTAGCGCGTTTTATTACAATGATCCAACGTTTGCAGCGCTCCGGATCTTGGGGAATCCTGTAGATGGCTCGTTCCTTATGTCGTCCGCGTCTGTTCTGCATCCTGGGGCACAACAGGAATCTACCATATTTCCCGTTTGATTGAGTTTTCTGACAATAACAAATAGTCCAGCTGCCGGCTTCTGCATGCCAATATGGCGCCGTTTCGATTTGAACTGTTGCATGCCGGGAAAAGTGACGTCAACTCCCGGAGCTCTATAGAGCACAGACACCTTCTAAATAGATTAAAATGGTTAACGTGTGCCCTTTAATCAGGCTGTTTCAGAATTTGAAGACAATACCACAGCATATCATACACGCGCATGTGTGTGTGTGTGTGTGTGTGTGTTGTATTTCATCCACATCAGCTTCATTGTGACACAATAAAGGAAGTCGTCTGAACTGCTCTGTCTGCCAAACAAAAACCAAACATGACCATGGCAGAAGTGTCCTGAGAAGCTGCATGGTGTTACAGCAGACGCTTGTTTGGTGTGTGACCGTTTCTTCTAAGTTATTGGGTAACTGATACTGCACTACTACTGTGCTTCTTAGCAGGAGTGTGTTTCTAATTTCAAACTGAAGAGGTGACATATACTCAGGTCCATCTGTGTTTTAGTTCTCAGAAGCGAACCCCAGCAGAAGGGCAGCGGGTGCGTTGGTACACTTGTTCTATTCTAAACAGTGCGCTGAAGGCCTTGTTTTGTGTGTACCAGTTGTCCCCGTTAGAGTGGACGTGTGTGATGTAGGACATGCTGATAAAGATTCCCAAGTATTTCTGGACAGGATGATGTCTGCTGCTTTGAGGAAAAGCAGCACCTGTCTCTTCCCACTTATTATAGCATGACATAATTTTTGTTTACCAGCTAGAGCCGGTAAAACGCCTGAACTGCAGCTAGGACGGTAACGTCTGAGCTTCTACATGTCATCCCGTGGCTCCTAATCTTCACTGGCTATCCCCGCTCCCCCTCGGCTATTTTTACAAGTGTGTGAGCTCTACTTCTTCAGGCACCAGCCGAACACCGGAGACTCCTCCCTGGAAGCAATAACATGTCAGTCCCACGTCGTAAAAGTAGACCTGAACAGGGCCGGGCAGGTCCGTGTACATGAAGCCACTAGGAGGTTTGTTTGCTCTTAAAGAATAAAACCTGAGCAACGCATGAGTTTCCTAAAAACACACACACACACACACGCGCGTGCACACACACACACACACACACACACACACACACACACAAGCATGTGGGTCCAAAAGTATGCACCGGCAGCGCCGTGCAGGATAAGATGCCACACAACCGTCCTCTTCCAAGGAAGACGATTATTCTGGGAAGAAGAATATTACACTCAAGCTCCTGACAGACACTTTAGCTTCATAGATTCTGTCAAACAAATATTTTATTTGTAAATTCTTGTAATAGCTTCCCACAATAAAACGCTGCACAAGTAACTCTACGACACCCAGGTGCCCGACGCTGAATGAAAAAAAAGCAGACAGGAAACACAAATCAAAATACTCTAGAACAAGTAGCAAAACTAAAGACAAAACAAACATGGAGTGTGTTTGCCCTCGAATCCTTAACACACACGCAGGCAGGCACACACACACATGCACACGCTACCTTTGAGTCAAAAGTAATAAATGATGAACAGAAGGCCACTCTGCTGTATTTTGGTGTTCTGTAGTTGGTAAATAAACATTAACTTGAGCCATCTCATCCAGATGAATTTTGTTTGTTTTTGTCCTTCAGAGACCAGGAGAGGGACTGAGACTAAAATCAGGTTTGAGGGCCACTATGGTTAATTTAGGAAAAGGATAAAAGGACAGGCTGAGAGTGGCTCTATAGTCATAGCAGCTCCGGTTAAGACAAACAGATGGAAGAGAGGGCTGCATGGGCAGCCTTCCTTAAAGGAATAGGTGTCTGCCGAATGGCATGGATGGAGTTTGAACCCTTTTAGTTGGAACTTGACAATATGTTAAAATTGAGCTCAATAAATGTAAAGCTGTTAAATCTACACACACCGATAATAAACAAGAGCAGAGTCTGTTGTTCAGAACATCAGAGACGTCGTCTGTCAGTAGCTGTTTAGCTGCAACAACCTTCAGTGACTACAGAAAACTTTAAAAAGGGTAAAATAACCAAAGAAGAATCCAAAGACTGAGGCAAAATAATCACATCAGATGATCACAGGCACAGACGAGGAAAGCAGAGTCAAGATGCCAACTGGGTTAATCGTGCAGCGATGATGTCTCACTTGATCGGATTAAACTTGTCTGAGGTTGTCCCTGTCCTCAGAACACCCTGACTTGACTAAACTAAGCCCAACACAGCAGAACACTCAACATTAGAAAGTAAAAACCTGGGCGTAGGGGGTGAGGAAGGCACGTGGGACAGGAACCAAATCATCTCACTGCTATAATCCCACCACACCAGACCTTTTGGCCGCAGTACTCGGCACCGGCGTCAGATAATAAATGCCACAGCAAAAAGGCCCTCATCTATGAGCTCATCCTTTCTACCGTTTGACTGTTGAGCAGAGGGATGAAGGCGGCTCCTGGCCACAGCAAATGCTGCACACGTCAGAGAGAGTGGAAAGAAGCTGCAGGGTGGAAACGATGCAGGGTTTAGGCTATTCACACCTTTCAATGACTCCTGCTGCGTCACGCTGCTGCACCGTCACCGAGGAGCCAAATGACAACAGGGAGAGCCAGGCTGAATGTTGAGCGTCCTAAAGTTCAAGCAACGTGGGCTAAATTCATTAAGCCAGCCGCTTTCTGCAACTCCTGTCACCAACACTCTCTGTAGAGGACGGAGATCTGAAGAGTAGCTGAGATTCAGGTGATGAAAACGTCACATTGATGGTTACATAAAATCAAGTCCTTTTCTACATTTCTCCTCCTTTCCTTCTCCCTAAACTTCTCCATCGTCCTTTTAACCTCCCAGGAATGCTTTGTGTCATCTGCGACTCTGCTCCAAGTTTGTGATGAATGTTGGTTACAAACAGTGTTTTTTGTACAGCTGCTCCAACACAGATCATACCAAATTAGGATATTTAATCTGTTATTTAAAGGAGACGGTTTGATGATCTTTAGAAAAAATAAAACATTAGTTTTCAGACCAGTGCCAACCATATCTAAACACAGAAGCAGACATTTAAAGCTGTTCTTCACCAAAACCATTTTATACCTATTTTTGAAAATGATCAATCACTCTTGAGTTTTCATGCAGGCTGAACATGAAAATAGTCTCCTACACCTATCTCCTGCATTAGCTTCTGATAGAAAATAGACAATGAAACTCTAGGATTAGAAAATCCTGACAGATCTACGTCACCCAGTCACTTAACATTCCTGGACTCACCCATCTTGACTCACGGCGGGGAAGGCTGTTGTTGGTTTAGCGTCCAGGAAACAGCAGAGAACATCCCAGCTACTAGAAGCTAACTTTTAGCGTTAGCAACTCCACCACAGAGTAGAACTACTTCAGGCTTGTGTTATTTATGGAGATAAAACATTAACGTTGCAGAGCAAACAGTCAGTGGTAGGGTTGCATTGCTGTTAGCCAATCAGAAGTGAGATGACCAAATATCAGTAAATAAGACTCCAAATCCTGCCGTCTGAAGCTACTTTCACCTCTGGCTGACTTCTCTGTACTCAAACAGGAGCACCGGAGCTCCATTTTTGTGGAGCACATTTGTAGTCCTGGACATATTTTCGCACGAAACCTAAAATAATGTTCCACCGTTCGAAAATAAGCGCTTTCTTGATATCAAAGTGCGTCTTTAAAATTCATGGACACGGACAGTTTATGCAAGACAAACTCGAAACGGGAGACTGTCAATAATGCAGGACACAAGTTTCAATTTAGTGGACGTAAGAAAAGTCATAAGAATGTGGGGCTCTCCCGCTCTGGTCACCATAGTGACGACACACTACAGCTCTCCATTTGCCCCTCTGTCAATTAACAGAGAGAGGGAGAAAAACCTCTCACTTGATAAATTGCGATACAGCAGCACTCTTAAGCTGAAAGTCGCTAGCTTTGGCCCGTCTTCGGAGAAATAAATCTTTACTTGAGTATGAAAAATTGGTAAATCTAGCAACAAAGACAGATGGACACACAGGGAGGCAGACCTGTTCTAAGCAACTTGATTGGTTGGTAGCGTCACGTGGGGCGCGGTGCCGGCTGAATGCAGAAATGAAAGCAGACAAGCACTACAGCCTGAAACCCACCGAACGCAGCTGAAAACAGAAATTCATGCGTAAAATGTTTACCCGTTTGTATTTATTCACAAGGAGGGAAAATAATTCTCCAGGACAACTCAAACATTTCCAGGACATTTTCCTAATTTTCGCATTTTCCATGTGTTTTCCATGACTGGAAAATTGGTCTACCATTTTCCAGGTTTTCCAGGATGCGTGGGAACCCTGATTACCTTGTTATATATTTGCTGTACGAATGGACATGCAGAGAGCTTCAGAGAATAACATTCAACACACATTTTTATTTGACTGTTTGCATGAAAACTATAATGATTGAGCTGCTCTGCTTTAAAGAAAGGGAGAGTTAGGCTAAAAATTACGGGTGTCTTCTTAGTTTAACAGAAAGCTTCATTGAAAGTGTTTCAGCTAAATCATAACCTCTTCAACTGTCCTCCACTCAACACACACCAGTAAATGGCTTAACTTCAGCAAAACACCATCACCTAATTATACGTAGCCATAAAATAACTGATCTGTAAATCTATCACAAACAGGATCTGATAGAAGACTCTGGATTGCCCACCTTCTTTCAGGCTGTGATAGACAAGTCTGTCATGATCCATCTTCAGGTCAGCCTTGTCTATGTCGTCTGCCATTGGGGGAGAGCCCAAGGGGGAGGGTTCAAAGGACAGGCAGTGGTTGGTGTCCAGCATTATCATTCAGGCTGGAGATCTATTATTCATTAAGCATTGAAAATTGGATTTAAAAGAGGTCCTCTTGTAAAGTCCCTGATGTTGAGTGCATTGGCAGGAGGAGTCCTCAATGTGTCAGATGTCCCGAAATCTTGATGCCCTTGAAGTCAAAGGGACAGAATTCCAACACTTTAGAGGACTCACAGTCGGTGGATGTCTCCTATAAACTTCTAACTGCTCGGATAAAACACTGGTCCTGCCGAGGCTCTTCTCCTCTCCTCTCAGTCTCCTCTGAACCGGGTGATCGATTATTCTGTCTCAGCTTCTCTCCCTCTCTTCTTCCTTCAGATCTCTTTTCCTTGCAGTAGCAGCCGGCAAGTCACGACAGCACCGTTCTGCAGTTTCTCAAAGAGCCGGGTTTAAGGGATCTAAAGAGCAAGTTGTGGACAAAAAGGACGAGAGAGGCTGAGCAGAGCAAACGGAAAAGAGGCCACCGGCTGAGGAAGACAAGACGGCAGTGAACTCAACTAGAGTGTCCCCGGCAAGACCGCTTTGGTTGCAACTCCTCCTGAATCTCTCTCTCTCATTCTCTCACTCACTCTCACACACACACACACCAAGTGTTGCTGATAAAGTTCTCCTGCTCAGCTGTTGTCATTCATTAAGTTACAAGCTCAGGGGGGCTGCCACACACAAACCTCCTCCTGTTGAGCACAGACACACCACACAGACCTGAAATCACAGCAGCAACACACACAAGGTGTGCTAAAACAAAGGCTTCCTTTGACAAACGGTGACTCAGTCCGATCACGAGCAGCTTTTATTGGACAAGCAGTAAACATTTGAAATCATGACCTCATCCACCTTAATCAGTTCATCTCAGTAACACATTAACATCCAGTCATCAACAAAAGTCTGTTGAAGGTCTGCTTTTATGTAAAGGTGGAGCATTTTTAGGTACGACGGAGTCCAAAAGGTTAAACTCTGATGCATCACAACTTTATCCGAGTCTCCTGTACATTGCTGGTGAACACCACCCGGGACCCCTCCTCTGGTCTGGTTTTAAATAGCTAGGCCAGCTGGTCATAAGTGGGCTATATTCAGCTCAGTATCACCTGTGCAGTTGCAGGGTAATGTTACTTTGAGGCACACACACACACCACAGTCCACAGACTCACAGGAAAAGGTTAGGCCTCACTGTATTAAAGCAACGTTTGATACAATATAAGACAGAAAAACAGCACATGGCCTCTTTAGATTCCTTTACCGCATAAACAGCAGAGAGAAAATGCCTACCAAGTATGACTCGTACAACACACTTTCATCCTACAGGTGACACATGGGACAACACCTTAAACAAACACTGTCTGCTACTACAATTACAGTCTCCTAGGAGTGTGAGATTTAAGTCCACCTGTGTTATGATTTAGTCAGGACAGGAAGCACAGGGACAACAAACACCCTCAAGGTTTAATTAGGGGCATGTCAGGACAGGAAAAGGGTGTATTTAATCTATTAGAAAAATTAAAATCAACATTTAAGTGTTCATCAAGTAATCTCTGTCAAACATAACAAGGAACAAAAACAAAGCTAAAAGAGGCTAAAACAAAACTTCATATTCTGTTAAAATGGTCCCTGAGGGTTTCTGAACTTATAAGTGGAAAAAGAAAGGCTTTTATTACAGAAAATGTGTTTTCTGTTGTAACTGATCAACACACACACACACACACACACACACACACACACACACACTCTCTCTCTAAACATTCAAACAAAACAAACACCTGTACAATAAACCAAAACATAGCAAGTGCCACCTACTGGTGGTCACAGGTCCCGATAGCAGCCTTTTTACAAACTTAACGTATTCAGATTTGGGATGTGTATTGGTGAAATTCTGGCGATACAATACGTATTACGATACAGGGGAGATGATGCAATATATCACGATATATTGCAATACATTCAGACGATATTGGCGATTTTTTTGACTAAATTTATTACAGGAAAATTCAATAAACAGTCCAAACTGATACTTAACATGTTTAACCATAACAGAGGGATTTACATTTCAATGGTAGAAACAAAACCCATTACACACTGCTGCCAACTAGTGGTCGGCATTTGAACTGTACCACAAGAAAAGAAAATACACAAATGTTTCCATGTAAATTCTTCCAAAAATTAGATACACGACTTTTGAATATCGATACATTTTTGCAAGAAAAAATATCACAATATATTGCGATATTGATATTTTCGATACACTGCTTTTGAATATCGATATAACATCGCTGGGGAAAATATCACGATATATTGCGATATCGATATTTTCGAAACACTACTTTTGAATATTGATATATCGTTGGGGGAAATATCACGATATATTGCCATAATTGACATTTTCTTACATCCCTAGTATTCAGACAGTCATCCAAAAATCCCACAAATTTATTTTGTCATTCATTTGAATGTAAAAAGCCCTAACAAATACAGGGCCAGTTTCACAGGGATGTATAATTCATCTCCAGTTAATCAGATAACTTTGCTTGTCTGACTGAAGCAGAATTGGACGGTTGGTGTTTATGGTTTTAGGGTTAGTAAAAATTTTCTCACTATTTATCAAGCTTCCCCTACGGATCAGCAGAACCTGAGTCCAGTTTATCTCACCGAGTGTCTGTTTGTGTGTAACCAAACTCACAACAGTCATTGGATTGACACAATATATTGTAAATTAATATGTGCTCAAAAAATATAATAGATTCAAGTGTAGTACTAAATGGAGCCGGTCTATCTCTGTACTTATTTGTCAGGACGGCTTTTCTGTGCAGTTAGAAAAAGGCTGCATGCACAGAAAACACAAAATGTGTTCCCGAAGAACGTTTCTGAATGCTGGATGTCCTCATGGACAGTTACGGTATCAGCCAACAGATGAGAGATTGTTTTAACCTTTAAAAGATAAAACAAGGTGCCGTCATTCAGGCATCAAGAACATTCCTGGAACATTGTTTAACCCCTGACAGTTATTTAAGTTTTCCTCTATCGTTCAAAGCATTTCCGAGAAAATGTAAAAGGAAAAGAAATCATCCACAACAGTTGGTGATTTCCACAGACTCAATAAAGCTTCTTCAGTAAGGTCCGATGTAATGATTAGCACTCTTCAGAGCTAAATGTCCTGAAACTGTCAGTGACTGTTTAGGATGACCTTTAACCCTCTCAGGCTCAAAATAAGTTTTGATAAAAGGACGAACAACTAAGTCCTTCAGGTACTTCTGAGTTAAAAATGCTCATGAAATACATATGTGGAGTAACCAGGTAGGTAGGTTTTAGCGTTGCAAATTTGCAACGCCTGCCTCCAGAGGGTTAAATGCTTTTGCAAAGGTACTTTTTACTTTAGATCACAAAAGGCCATGCTCCTCTAGAGATGTAAGAAATATAGATATAGCAATATATCATATTTGTTCCTGCGATATTATATCAAGGAAGGTTTTAACTTTGTTTTAATATGCTTACATAACAACCTGTATCAAAAATGGATGCATCATGCAATTTTCAACATCATGATCAATCTATAAAAATGATAAGAAACTAAAACATGTTGTAAATAACCTTAAAGAAACTGTCACCACGCAGAAATGTGCTCAAGTTTCTCCGGGATGTGATGGGTTCTGATAAGGTATCGCATCACTTAATCAGCAGGAAATATTTAAAGAATGAACTAACTAGAAGAGCCCAAAAGAAACCAACTTTGTGTCAGTTCACCACAGGTCAGACAAACCATTAGCATTCCAGGCTCAAGAGCAGAAAGTATTTTTTATTTTTTACTTTTGAAATGCCTCCCCAGGGAGGTGTTTCGGGCATGTCCTGCCGGCAGGAGGCCCCCGGGTCGACCCAGGACACGTTGGAGAGGTTAAATCTTCAATCTGGTCCGGGAACGCCTTGGAGTCCTGCCGGAGGAGCTGGTGGAGAAGGCCCGGGAGAGGACAGTCTGGAGCTCCCTAGTTGGGATGCTGCCCCCGCGACCCAGACCCAGATAAGCGGAGGAAGACGACGACGACTTTTGAAATGACTCCCTGGTCCCCCTGTCTGCTGTGGAATTCACCAACACTCCCTACGTTTAGCTGATGATCAACAGCGACATCAGACTAGGACTTCTCAGAAGCTATCTGTTAACATTCCTGAACTGCAAACAAAATCAGGTAAACTATTTGGATGTTATCAAGCACTGCTGATGTCACTGAAGACACTTGGGGGTCCATGGCAACATGTGTGCAATTACGTGGAGGGGATGTGGAAACCAGGACGAAATGTAAACAAGCCAACTGTGAAGCTGCACTTAATCACTTTCTGAAGTCCCTGTTTGTACTAAGAGGTAAATGGACTGCAGGAGGCTTGCACACCAACTCTCTCTTTAGAGATGAAGTCATTGCAAGTCTTTTTGGTACAGCAGATATACAGTCAGGCCCGTAAATATTGGGACATCGACACAATGCTAACATTTTTGGCTCTATACACCACCACAATGGATATCAGATGAAACAAACAAGATGTGCTTTAACTGCAGACCCTCAGCTTTTATTTAACAGTTTGCATATGTGCCTCTCACTTGTTAAGGGACCAAAAGTAATGGGACAGAATAAGAACCATAAATCAAACTTACACATTTCAATACTTGGTTGCAAATCCTTTACAGTTAATTACAGCCTGTACTTGTGCCAGTAGGACATGGATTCTTCCGGATATTTGGACAACATGCCTTAGATTGGATAACAGCAACATGACTCTACCCCTGACTTGCAAAGTGGATGTTTTATCTCTGCAAATAACACAAGTCTAGAGGTGTGTTTCTGTGTAATGAAGCTGTTAATGCTAACGGTTAGCTTCTACTAGCCGAACTGTTGTCAGGATTTTCAAATCCTAGAGTTTCACTGTCTATTTTCTATCAGCTAACGCAGGAGATGGGTGTAGGAGACTATTTTCAACTCAGTGATGGATTATAATCAGAAATAATCATTAAAAAAATGTCAGTGTACCACACCTTTAAATGTTTCAACAACTACAGTAAAACTACTATTAGGATTTACTTTGACTATTTCCAGGTGAGAGGGTGCGACCTAAAGTTAATGTTGAAGAAATTCATTAGAGACTCTTATTAATAAAGTCACAACTGGCGATTAGCCTGGCGGCCATCATGGAAGTAGAAGTAGTCAAACTAATTGTTTTAAGAGAAAAGCTCATAGGAAAAGCAACTTAAAAATAAAGCTGAATAAGAGAAGGACTGGTTGGTGTTTTCCCAGGGGGTGACAGCTCTGTTACATAATCCAAACATCTGAAAATCATTTTACTGTTAAAAACATCCTAACCTCTTGTTTTATTTAGAGAGAAACCAGGACTTTTCTACAACTGGTCTACTCCTAAACAAGAAGCTACATACATACATACATACATACATAGAGAGGATGAGTTCATGAATGAAGGTATTTTCTGTAAACTAAATCCTGTGCTAAAGAGTTTTACTCTGTGAAGTTTCCACACCTCTTCCTTCCTTCTCTTCTTTCTTCGTGGACATTTCGCAGTATGCACAATTGTCTGAACTTGTGTTCTCATGGACTTGTGAAACGTCATCAACGTTGGCCTAAGTACCGTTCCAATCCTAAGTGCGTATGAAGAACGCTCAAAGTTTCTGGATGTTTTCTTGCTCCGGCCATTGTATCGAGGATGCATCAACGCATTCTTCTGCAAACCCCAAACAGAAAAGGCCTTATATCTCACAACTGTAGTGTTTTATATAAAAAAAAAGATTAAGTCTAAATAAATAAATAAAAAGGTGGTCTGTTGTATAAAATTGAGTGTAACCTGTAAATTTTGCTGTGTTTTTTTCTGACAATACCACAAAAGCAAATAAGCTGGTATTTTATCAGTTTTGATCAAAAGTGGACCAAATCTTATACAAAATAAATGTTTTGATTTTTATTTTGTTATTTAAAGGATAAACTAGAATTTTTATTTTCATTTTCATAGTAAAATTTTCATTGTTTAACCGTAGAATAAAGAAAACATACTTTCTGCTGTACTTGCCAAGAACGTCCAACGTACGTTGGCATTGAGAAACGGCCTATATCTCCTCTTTCTGATACTGCAGAGTGTAGCATCTAATAAAAGCCTGCCTGTTAATTTGCCTGAGTGTCAGGTTTTTATTATACTCAGCCCAATCGGGTCACAGCTTTCTATTTTTTAATACAAGTAACTTGTAGTTGCAAAATCAAGAACACATATTACGTTACATGAGAAATAAAGGGTTTAAAAGGATGAGTTCTCACAATTCAGTCTTTTTGCCTTGTTTGCTCATTTCTTAATGAACACAAAAAACTAAACTAAACCCTCTAGTTCAAATTCAGTTAAGACCAATTAGCACGTTAGGAAGATTCAGAATCAGACACCTGTCGTCATACAGAAGTCACATCAGTTTATCCAATCAGATAAAAGGACAAGGCAAAGTCTAGCCTGCAGCTTTGAGTTTTACTGCTGCTGTTGCAACTGTGGATCTCCAGGCTTCCGTCTGAGTCACCCTAACAAAACCGACCTCATCGGCCAACTTAGAGTGTGCCACATTCGCTGCTGGCATGTGAGTCAACAGCTAAAGGTTGTTCTATTATTCATAAACACCAGAGCAAAGCAGAGGCAGAGACTAGGTGAATTAGACTGAGTAGAGGATACATAACCTGTGTTTGTGTGGCTGAGGGTTTCCACAGTCGTAGATTTGCACCTGTGGCAGCAGGGACGAGTGCAACAACTGAAACCATCACTCACACATTTGTAAAAGCTGACATTTTGAACAGGACGATGCTGTGGTTTTAGGTTTATGCATAAACACTGAAGCGTCTTCCTTACTATTCTGGTCACAATTATCCTGATACGCTTGGCCATCCTCACACCCTGCAGCTTTTAGGCAAAATGTTCAAATTATACATCGAAACATGAGGTTCCATCAGGTTCTGGTCTATTTTAGACAGTGTTGACGAAAGAAAAAAAAATAGACAACAATGAGACTGTGGTGTAACAGGTGAAAACTCCACCCCATTTGGAGCTGAGGTGGACTTCACTGTGGAGAAATTACACAAAGTCTAAACTGGTTACAGGAAGCTGGACTTCACATGACTGAATATTACTCTTTAGTACACAAACTATACATCAAAATGGGGTATTTTTGTCTATTTTCCCTCTAATATGCCAGTTTTCTCATGAACCCTTAGTCAGGAAATCTAGGCCATCCGTTGCAGTAGCTATGCAGGTCGATCTAGTCACCTGAGCAGGTCTACCATTAGCTTGAACAACATTTAAGCCAGGCCAGTCACAGTGCTCTATGTTTGTAGAGAGGTCTTGGGCGGGCTTAGCGCCAAAGTTGGAATGGATATTAATTACAAAGTTTGAGTCGGGTCAGGAATGGTGCTCATTTGAAACAGCTTTGACAACTTTGGACAATTTAGACTTGGGCTTTTCAGATAGAAGTACTTAAGTCCTTTATTTGAATAAGAATGCATTCTTCTTCTTCAATGGTGTATAGTAGACTACACCATTGACTGATTTCTGTAGCAATGAGTACATCACATTGTTTGTTGCTCTGATTGATCCTAGAACTGTTCAATACATACGGAGACAGTTTGAAAGACAACCATAGACTCCGGCCCTTGACTGAGCTCTGTCTATGGGTCGTGGTCATCACATATATTCACATATACTGTATAAGATTTCTTGCCAGGCTAATAAACCCTCCCAGGGTTTCAGGACTTATAGAATTTAAAACATATTTAGAAAGTTTTTTTTCATTATAACTCGTATCTTTACACAAAACGCTGTGGACAAACAAACATTCACGTGTGTGACCAACAGGTCCTCCTAACATCAATGCTCTCCAGGTTTGTAGTTACTCCTTTTACTTTTCAACAATAACCCTGCTTTCATCCGTTTGGGGGTCTGTCTCACAGGTGCTGTAAAAATGTGAAATAGTGAATGTTGCCGTTTCCTTAGGCCTAAATGTAATGTTGCTGTGTCAGCCCTTACAAGGACATTTAACCACATTTGCACTCTTAAACGTTTGTTCAGACATTTTCTAGTTCATTTTAAAACATCGACATAAATACTGGACAATTTGTTTCCATAGGCTCCAATAATAAGTTTTTAAGCCAAAATGGGAGGTGGCCACCACCGCCATTTTGACCGTGTCACAGGTTCCATCACACCCAGACAATTCCCAAAAGAAAAAGACGTGGAGCTGAGGGTGGGGCTGTAAGGCTAGGATCAAATGACGACACCCGTCGAACTAATCCGATGTAGCTACAAGCTAACCCAAAGCTAATGCCGAGGTGGGAGCTAAGCTAATGGAGGTACCTACCTAGCTAAAACCGGAGTTAACTGTGCATAACACTGGAGCTTCTGAGTAAGAGATGCGCTGAGCTGACCGCTGGGTAAAACCGGGAGGAACACAGAGGTCTCCCGAGAGCTCCACAAGCCGGCAGCCCGCGCAGCAGACAAGCGCTGCAGCGGTCACAGATGCGCCGAGCTGCCGCTGAGGGGAGGGAACCATATTATAACTTGGCTTCTGAATGTCCTAGAGAGATCAGGTTTGTTTTAGTGTACTCCAATCAACAGCCCCTACAACCACAAAAAGGAATGGAGTCATTAGCACTTATGGTTTTTAAATGGCACCCAGAATTATGTTGCACGAAGCACAATTTCACATCATTCTGGGTCCATTTGTGTGAAAACAAGGTCCAATCAGGCTGAAACGCTACAAGAAGGTAGAATCTATTGAGTTGTAAGTGATCTGAACGTTTCAAGATGATCGCACATTCCTATAGGGGGTAAAACCATGTCCCAAAGGTCACCGGGCCTGGTGTCACTTTAAAGAAGTAGTCCAGTTACACATGTGTGGGCTTATAACTTGGCTTCTGAATGTCCTAGAGAGATCAGGTTTGTTTTAGTGTACTCCAATCAACAGCCCCTACAACCACAAAAAGGAATGGAGTCATTAGCACTTATGGTTTTTAAATGGCACCCAGAATTATGTTGCACAAAGCACAATTTCACATCATTCTGGGTTCATTTGTGTGAAAACAAGGTCCAATCAGGCTAGTCGGAACCCAGCTCCACCAACATGTTATATTTCAACCCATTTTCTAAAGTGCAGCATTATGTTAAATGCACTGGGTTTTACCCTATTACATTTAAATTTCATGGTTAAACAGTACATGTTAAAATCTAAGCTCAGCTAGCGCAAGAGCAGCAGTGACCTAAAATACATAAATATAATTTTACTTACCGAAAAAAAATGAAGTGGAGACTCCTTGGACGCTCTATTAGTGCAATTAATGCCACAGCAAGTCATTTTGTCCAACAATTGCACAAAAATATCCAAAAATAACACAAATGGCACAACCAATGGTCTAAGTTGAGAGACTGAAAATCACGGAACAGTTTATAGGCGAGGCCGAGGCTCAGGCTGAGGCCTTTTCCCGGAGCTAGCTCTGTGGTCACGTGGGTCTGATGCTCATTAATTATTCAGAATTTTAGGCTTTTAATACACTTAAACAGAAGAGTGGGGAAAAAATTCTCCCCCCTCAGAGTTGTCATGAGTGTAAACTAGATAATTTAAACCAAAAACATGTTTTGGTACCAGGCTGTAAACATGTTTATTTCTGCTGTGAAATTGGTATTTTTAACATGGGAGTCAATGTGGATTTGCTTGCTTCTGACACCAGCCCCTAGTGGATGAGGGTGGAACTGCCATTTTTGTCACTTCCGTGTTGGTTTCACTTTCATACCAGTAATATGGGGGCTTGTTTTAAAACATGCTGAAGCCCAGCATCAATCATAAATGTTTGTATTTTTAAATTAACAGCTGCAGTACCTGAATTACATGATGAAACATCTCCAAATGAGACGCTGCATGTTTAAATCTGTATGCAGCCTGACATCCGTCTGTGCAAGTGTTCTTAAAAGGCTTGCCAATAGTAGGAAACTGATTCATTCTGCTGAGAAAAATGTTCATCAGTGCTTATGTTCCTGCTCCAAGGCTGCTCTTTCAGACTGAAATGCACACACACACACACACACACAAACACACACACACACACGCCACAAGAGTGGGCATGTACCTGTGGGTGTGCAAGTAGCGTGTTCCTGTTGCTATGAGCAGACCTGCAGAGCTGATAAAGTGCTTTTCTTTAGCTTTAGGCAACAGATCTGACTGAGGCTGCCTGGCTACGCTGCCTGACTTCTCATTATCTTACAGGAATTTACTGGATCACAAATCAAACATGCGAGTGTGTTGGTGCTTGCAGAAATACCGACTGCCAGAACATATTGTGAAAATGGACACTTACCAAGTGTTGCATGTTCAGGTGCTGACAGTGACACGAGGCGTGAAGTGTGGGCGATCTAAAGCTCTGATTGGTTAAGTGTGGTCTGAAGGTGACGGTCCGTTTATCAGATGGGAGTTTTAATTAAACATAAACTTGATTTATGTTTGTGCTTGAAAGCTGTTGCTGTAACAACGTTAGACTTTACAGGAATGTAGAGAAACATCAAATCAATGACTTCATAATAAAAGTTCGGTTGTAGTGAAGATTGGCAGCTAGACTCTGATGACTGCAGTTGTTTGCATTAACTTACAACTTGTTCTAAAATCAGTTTTTACAGTGTGTGTTTTAGATGTGCAATACTCTTTTCTTTAATATCTAATCTCTTTCACTTTCTTGCCTCCTATCCATGCTGTGATCTTATCCACGCCCCACCACTCCTCCTCCTGGTCTGACTCAAGTGCTTGTGGGCCTCTGTTGCAGGCCTGGCAGCCTCCCAGTTTGTTACATAACAGGACCATCAGTTCCCTGAATCACTGCAGGGCTGAACTGGCCTCGCTCAGCCGGGCTGCATATCTAGCAACCAACAGGACCAGCTCCTTGAAGCATGTGTTAAAATCACATCAGCATTCATTGCTAGAAGCAAATGTATCATTTCTGCTACCTGTCAAACAAACTTTTGTGTGAATGAGTCAACATCAGCTGTGGCTTCTTTACTTGTCATTAATATGCAGCCGTGGGGATGGAGTGATCTCTATGTTTTAATCAGCAAACCATTTATAATCCAAAACCTCTCTGATGGAATTTCAGCAGCGACACAAACAGAAAAGGTGAACTTCCCCAGTAGGAATGTTTATGAAAGCATGAAGCTCGTCTGCTTCAGGAGTCAGCCACAACAAGGTTAACCTAAAAACCATCAAACGCTGGGCTGCAAAATATTGGGAAGTGTGATTGTGATGTTATTGTTTAAGATGATCATTTATGTAATGAACCAATGTTCTCCTCACTTTAACTGCAGCAGCAACAGATGTCATTCACCTACACGCACATTCACATGCGGGGGTACTGAGCTACATCGTAGCCACAGCTGCCTTGGGTGCACTGACAGAAGAGAGGCTGTCGAGCACAGGCGCCACCGGTCTCTCTGACCACCACCAACAGGCAAGGAGGGTTAGGTGTCCTGCCCAAGGACACAACGGCAGTAACAGACTGAGCAGGGATCGATCCTGCTACCCTTTGGTTACAAGGTGGGTATTTTACTACCCTGCCACTGTCACTGAAGATGAACGTTTAGCAAGTTATGCAAACCTACTGTTATTGAAGGGAGCTGATATTAGAGTGTGCCTTTAAAACCAGATAAATAACAGCTTATGTTGAGAAACGATTACCTTAGCGCCAACCTGGTTTGCCCACCACTCAGAATGTGTTATGAATGAGTCTCTGCTAATAAAAACCAAAGTTTAGCTCCAAACAGAGTAGGGATGTAAGAAAATACAGATATGGTAATATATCGTGATTTTTTTTCCAGCAATATTATATCGATATTTAAAAACCGTGTATTTAATTTTTGGGAGAATTTACATGCAAACATTTGTTTATTTTCTTTTCTTTTGGTGCAATTCAATCGCAGACCACTAGTTGGCAGCAGTGTGCAATGGGTTTTGTTTCTACCACTGAAATGTAAATCTCTCTATTATGGTTCAGATACCTCATGTTAAACATGTTACACATCAGTTTGGACTGTTTATTGAATTTTCCTACAACAAATTCAGTCTAAAAAAATCACCAATATCATCTGAATGTATCGCCATGCATCGTGATATATCGTATCGTCTCGCCAAAATTTTACCAATTCACATCCCTACAACTGAGTGTAGTCGTTCTTGTGTCTGCTAAGGACAGCTGCCTGTGAAGGATCACCAGAATTGGGTCGACTCCAGAAGTTACTCAGCTGTACATGTATGTGCAGCATTTTCTCTGAAAGCGTCATTGAACTTTAACATGCACACAGACAGACGGGTAGGGGGAAAACATGGCAGCGGATGGCCAGAACCATAAAAATCAGTTAGCTTCAATCTGATGTTCATGAACAGGTCAGTGAAGAGGAGTTTGCAAATAGAATGAATCAAAACTGTACGAGTAATTTTTCTTTAAATACTAGAGCCCACGGGTCTTAAAAACACGTCTAAACGCTGCAGCAACTCCTGGTCCTTCCAGAAGGTTCAGTAGCGATATTAACTGCTGTGGTTTTGGCCAAGACGCATCCAAACGTCATAATTAAAATGTAATTACTGCTAGTTTTTTCTGCCACATATTTCTGATTTTCAAAGCCCGATCTCATCCCAGTGGTTGTAGATGTTGTAATTCTGGAACAGTCTGTTCTGACGGGGTCATTTCCATTTCAATCTGGAGCAGAGTCTGACGCTTCTAACCCAGTTTCGCCCAGCTCCAGGCCTGTGTTGCGTCTCCCTTCCCATCTTTCTGCTAATCTCCAGCTCTACCTGGAGCCGGTCCCAGCTCCTGTCTTTATTCAAGTGTTAAACTGGAAAGACGAGTGACAGCCACTGAGAGTCAGGAGCTGCCTTCGTAAAAACAGCATCCTTTAGCGTGTCTACACCCCCATCCCTCTACATTATACTTTAGAGGAAAAAGGTCAGCTTGGCCTCAGAGGGCCACCTGTTTCCTCTGCCCCGACGACACTCGTTCGTGTTATAACAGGTTTTATTCTTCCTTTTTAACCTCAAGTACGATCAACAGCAGCACAAAATCATGGAAATCTCATTTAGTGTTTGAATAGATTCTCCTCCAATAGAAAGAGTCCTCACAAGTTCACCTGACAGGATGGTCATGTCCCGCTGCACCATGCTGAAGGAATCTTCATCTCCCCGACATCCTGAAGGACTCAGGCTCGCCAAGCAGCAGTAAACAGGGTGCTCGAGCACAACCAGCTGCAGAAAAGCTCAGAAGAAGTTTTCCACCAACCAGCAGCTGGTATTCCATCGGTAGTGCAGCGCCTCACACCCTCCTGTCCACACTGAGTCTACAAGTGTGTGCCTGTCCCGGCAAAAAGGGTGTGTGCCCTAACCCTTGGGTAACAACAAGGTCCACCCATTGGTTCCAGTCTCTTATTGTGGTTCCACCTTCGTTCCCTCCTGCTACCATGAACCAACTTGACTTAAAAAACAAACAGAAAAAAATGAATTTCTCTTCCCTTTTAGCTAATTTAGACGTTTTAAAAAGTCCCTCACGAACAACAAACACACCTCCTTGTTTTCTTGCTTTCCATTTTCCCTCTGCTCCCTCTGAGAAGTTATGCAATGCTGCCATTTCAGACATGACCTCCCCCTCCTTGCAACTCCTCCGTCCTCCTCCTCCTCCTGCTGCTGCTGCTCCA